CATCGTATCCACGTGTGCGTACACGGTGCCGGAGGGTTTACGTGGAAGGCTGAGCTATAACGCGAAGGTATACGCATCGACAGATGCACTCGACGCTGCGTTTAATTGAATCCATAGCTAAGGAGCGAGCAGAACTAGATGCGGACATAGCAAGATGATCATATACATGCGTGCTAATATGTCGTCTTCAATCATGAGCTGGTCGATCCGTTCAAAGAGGGCACGTCACGCGTGGCTTTGGTAAATGAAATTTGAGAGACTTGTTTACCACGAATGCAATTTTGCCATGCGATATTGTTATCCCTGTGCTTTATACTCTTGATATTTATCTTATTTATGCTTTTAAAGGCTTGTGACAAATATTGACTCATTCAGTAGTAGAGATACGATATAGTCAAACGCCCTATTGATTCATCATCTTTAACTTCTGAATAAATATGCTCGACTTAAACATTCATAAACGTTAATATAATACTTATCTATACACTGTTATAGCTTTGCATTGCTGTTGGAATTTCAACTACTAATAGAAACTTTTGGCAAAGTTTACTAGTTTAAAGCATATCTAAAAATCTTTTCAAAATTTTTATAACCACTTCAATAGCAATGGAGCATTTGGATTCGAATGTAGGATTTTTCAAAAATTGAATAAACGTTCAAATTCAATTCTAGGCAAAACCACGCTTTCTTCAATCATTTTATTTGAAAAGAAATATTCACGAAGTCAATTGCGAGGATATATAGATTTTTTCTTAGTTTAATGCCTCTACAAAAGCTATTTTTCCTATTTATTCAAGCGCGCGCGCACACACACACACACACACACAACCTAACTTAAAAAATGTATAGGTACATGTTAAAGTGCAAGTTTAGCCAAAAGATGAATAACGATAGACATTGCTATAGTAGTTTTTTATCGTCAACATTTTATCTCTATTACGAGTACATAATGCGAATAATATTATCCCAGCGTAGATGCACAAGAATCACTTTACTATAAAAAATGTATTTGCCTAGGAGAATATAAGACGTACATTGGTGATATATGTAATATTAATACAAGTACATACCACGCATATGAAGGTAGCTCGAATCGAGTGAAATTTCCAAGTTTTCAAAGATTGCTTCAATTGAAAATGAAATTAAATGGACCATATTATCAAAGTGATGGTCTTTAGCATGGTATAAGAGAGTTCAACTATATTACACAAAGTCTGTCCTCTTTCTTACTTTAAAGAAGTTCGAGCTTCTGCGCACTATTTCTACTGCATCTTCTATTTGAAATATGGCGGGAAATATTAAAATCTAATAGTCGACGGGCCCAATGGCTATCTATCTTCTTGAACATGATTTCTCTTTCTCTCCTCTACCTTTTTCTCTCTTCACTTGCAGCACATATTCGCGTGGCGATTTGGAAGTTTAATTTTCAATCATCCTTTATAAAAGGAGAATCGCACAGAGGGTCGGGCGGCGCAAATGAAAGTCAGTTTGTCATTTTTAGAGATACAAATTGTCGCCGAAAACTTCATTTTGGTGATTTAGATGAGTCAAAGAAAGAAAGTTGTAAGTGACCACTACTTTGACGACTTAGTTTTAAACAGAAAAACTAGATAGACTACAAGTAACGAAAATAAGGAGGAAACTATTATATTTAATCTTGAAATATCATAACATGTGCGTGATTGAAAAATATTTTATTACAACTTAAAAATTTCAATAACTGATTAACCAATGGACTTGACTTGATCAATCATTGTACTAGTTTTTAGTGTTTTGCAATTGGTTTCAAATATTATAATAACAATTTAAAGTTTAATTTAGAAATATCCTTTTATCTCTGATAAAAGAATCGTATAAATAACGTATAAAAATTATTCAGTTACGGAATAAAACGGATATTACTCAACAGTTACATACAATAATTTGTTTACAATTATTTTTCCTCAAACAATATTTCTCATTAAGAAAATTAATTATAGCAGTCATATTCATTGCAAATACTTTAATTAATTTTTTTCTATTGATAACCGTCAGCTGAGAAATATTTAAAAAGCTTTAATCTGAAATGCAGCATGATGAAAATACTATATAATATTTATGATTGCAATAAGTCGAAGCACAGTCATTGTACATAGAGCTTTAGCTATCTTTATGGTGGAAAACTAATTAAATTGATATATTTACAAACTCAAGGAAGAGAGATAGAGCGATCGTAAAAATTAATAAAATTTTCCAAAACAAACTTAGTCCTTTTCTGAAATTTTACGAGCAATATTTCGTAAATATAAAGTTGGACGTTTCAGAGCATAACAAATTTACCCTCTGAAATTCAAGCCAATGAAAAACGAGCCCGCTGCAATTATATACGTGTTGCGAAAAGCCACAGGAATTCAATATCGGAATATTTACATGCAGACGAAATTTTCAGGAGAAAGGAGTGGGGAAGGATGAGCATCGTTGAAGTAGGCGCTTCATTGTGTCGCTCGTCATAATTTATTCGCGTGGCGCGCTGTGTTTTAACCATCTGCGGTTAATTTCTAGTGCAAGGACGACGAGAGCAGCTTCGTCGTCGAGCGCGGCTCCTTTACCCGTAAACGCCGCCGCCGCGTCTACTTGGAATAATTCGCGTAGTTAACGCTGGTACTTTATCACGCCTTGGAAGACTGTGGCGCTGCTGCCACGCGTTTATATATCTACTTAGCTATATAGCCTATAGTGAATACCCGAGAGTACGAAAACCGCATGACGGCGTGTGGTCGTAATACACAAAGGTTCTAGGTGCGGCGACACACTTATATGTTTGCTAGGACCGCGCAGCGCGTCGTGTCAGTGCAAGTTCCAAGTGTAAACGTCAAAATCCAATTTAGTTAGGAAATTGAACGCGGATATTGTAAGAGCGACACACAGATATACTCACGACAGACGCGAGTTGTTGCTCTTGTCGCGCGACCAGCGTCCTTATAACACTATACTTAACTACGTTGTATCCTGTAGCCCTACTACGTGCATTTTTCGAGAGTGTTTCTATCATTGTCCATGCTGGCTCCTACACAGAAATATGTATCTCTGTATTAGGCGAGAATTCGTATTTTTTACGGACTAAATGACCAATATTTTATTGCTTGTCATTAATTGAAAAATGAATAAGAAGTTGACTTTATATGACAGCAGAAAAAACCTGTGCAAACTTAATATGTTTCGAAAAAGTTTTGTTAAAGTTAGCGTATTATTGTAATTTAATGAATTCTATTATTGATTTACATCAAAACGTCATTAAAATTCAATTAAATTCATGCTAAGGAATATTTTCGAAACTTTGATCATAATACTTTATACACATGAAAAGTTTCTCGTTTTAATGACAAAACATATTTTTACGGTAAAAGTTGAGGTATTCCTTTAGGAGTGCTCCTCGTAAAATGTTATGACGTTATTAAGTGATTGCTTTTCATCTCAATTAAATTATATTTTTCATTCTGTTTTGTTTGAGTTTTAAAATCGTGAAAATGTGTTTTTACAAGATTCTAAATATGAATAATATTTTTGAACTTATTCATACATTTCAATGCAAACTTTCTTTGCACCTGACTATATTCTTAAAAATCTACTTGTTATATCTACTCGTAATTCTCAACATTATGCCAAAAGTTTATACTACTACGATACGTCAATATATCGTTTTTACTGTAATAGCGATAATAATAATAATAGCAATAATGAAAGTCTGATACAGAGATTTGAGAAAATCGAAGATAACCAATCATTTTCATGATCCCTAAGATTCTCAAGAAATATGAGTCACACAAGATGTATTTTATACGGGTGTTTTTAACCGTTCCCATACTTTTCTGGAAATTTGACCTTCCGGGTGAGGTGAGTGCAGGTATCGAGCGAAACTATTTCCGATAGTTGCTCGTTTCGGCCAAGGGGGCGTTAGCTTCGTTTTCAGCATAGAACGATTTATGCGCGAGCAACGAGCGACTGAGAGCGGGAGAGAGAGAGAGAGAGAGAGAGAGAGAGAGAGAAAACTCCCTCCCTCTCGGAAGACGACCGGCAGAGCGAACCTAAGCAAAATGGCTTGGGCATATATAAGCATTCCAAATCATTGCGACGTCTCCAGATTTATGTGCTCATAAATTTAAGCGATTCATTTTTCCGCTTCCCCTCGCTCTTTTACTCTTTATGCAATGGGGAAATATCAATCTGAAAGGCCGTTATAACGAGTCGAAAGTAAATGAGTAAGAGGTTGACCGATTGCAGTACATCCGATTCTTATAATTATGTCGAATTAGCACTATTAATTGAATATGTATATCATTTATAATAATTATATCGTTTTTAACGTCTATATATAATTTTTTCAGAATCTCAAAATATACGAAACAAATATTTGATACGATGAACTGTAAAAGTCACTTCTAGAATTGATTTCAGTTACGAAAATACTGAGTTGAATTTCCTCGTAGCATACACACTTGATATAACAATTTTTTTACCAGTTATACGTTCTATCTTGCTATTAATTCATGATACTATTTTTACTAGATTCATTTTTCACGGAAAATATTCAAATAATTGGAAAAGAATTTATCAGTAACCTTTTTTACGCTGCACCTGCAAATATTGACATTTTTATTTATGGAAGCTAAATCAATACAATATGTTGTTAACCTGTACATATCATTGCTAGTTCGCAGAAAACAATACTTTAATATTATCTACGTTATTTATTGGTAATAATACGTTCGTTTTGTTCAAAACAATTGATTATAATTTATTTAAGAAAGTATCGAGTATTTCACTACACATGCATGGCACAAGAATATTTGGAATTTACAAAAAATATCGTAAATAGACTTTGTAACTTATACAACTGTAACTTTCATAACTTTTCTAGAAAAAACTAGGGAGTGTGTCAATTACCTAAGGCTTCTGTCATAAATTGATATAGTTCTTCAGTTTTACTATTAAATGAGAATGATAAAATTTAATTTACTTACCTATAACGGTAAGATTATATCGAACACTTCTGGATTGTCCCCGATGGAAATCCACTCTACACCTATAAATTGCGGCGTCGTGCCTTTTGATATCGTCTAATACTAGTACCGCTGGTTCTTGAATGGACGTACGAAAGTACGCCCTTTGTCCGAATAGAGACGACGAGTGCTTCGCTTCCGTGAGAGGCTTTCCTCGGACATCAATTCTGAAAATGAAATAAAGTGTAGAAATTAGTCTTCGATCCTACGAAAGAACTCATGTTTGATAACAAAAAGTGTTTTAAAAGTATTATGAAACAAAAGTACTTTGGACAATGATTTATCACTTACAATATAATCACATAATTTGATCTTAAATAATGATGCAAAAAAATAGTACCATCAAAAGATAAATCACGTCATTTTTTAAAATTTAGCACATTCAAAATGAACGAGATTTTTATGAGTTTGAAAAATAGACGAATCTTTAAGATTAAAAGTATTAGGAGGAACATTTCATTTTTTACCCGTTCTCCCTCGTCAGCTCGAAGGCTAAGAAAATGGAAGCGAATTCTCTCTCAGTACGATCTCGATAAAATTCGTTATATGCGATAACTTGGTAGACTGACAAAGTCCACCCTTCCCATAGCCGATGTATCACTTTTTTCGGCTTCTTCTTTTCCGTTACTCTTGCGGATGGTTTTTCTCTGTTGAATACGTATAACTGTAGATTGTAGCAAGAAACCGATCCTTAGCGATTGATAAGTCAGAAGGTTGTGACGTCGTACGTGCTATAACAAATGTTGGTGACCGACCGATACGAGCGACGACTTTAACTAATGGGCTTTGACTGGACTGAGTTTTCGTGGACTTTCTATTTTCAGATATGTTGTTCATCGATGTTTCAATAAAATATTAAATATGAAAACCTATTTGAGTCCATTATATCTTGGATTATATAAAGATGTTCATATGTATTTGACAGGAAGACAACGTCTATACTTTGCCGCTTTACTGAATAAACTCTAAGATAAGTATAGTTCCTTCTAATACTCAAAATTGATTCTCAATCATAACTGATATTAGAAAGTGACAGGAAGTTTAATAATGCTAGTTTTTCGCCTTGATAAAATTAGATCTTTATATACTTATTTGCTCGTATATTTCAAATCGCCTATGTTGACAAACTTATTAAAAAAAGACTTCATTAAAAGAATTTATGATTGAGTGTTTCGTTTTGCTTCAGATTATAAGTAATTTGTAAATATACAAATAAATTTTTTTTTGAATGGTCGCCATAAATACTATATAAACTTTTCTTTATTTACAAAGCAGTACAGACGAACTTTTCGAGCATCAACATTTTAAATCACTTTTCGTGTTATGCAAAAATGTAATTAATTTTAAAAGAACTATCAAGAACGTATTGAAGAATTTACGTTCAACTTTTCCTTCAAAGATGGCTGAAAAGAACATAAACATAAACATTTCACTCAAAGTTACTCGCCAGAAAGCATCAGTGAGATACGAGAGACTCCCAATCGACCCCATACTAATCTACAAAGTAGGAAAAAATACTCTTTCAAGTATCGGGAGTAGGACCTTTTGAATATGCTTATTATTCTAACTATATCCTTCCAGTTTTGCCAAAAAAATATATTTTTATCTATCGTACATGTCACTATGCTAGGTTTAAATAAACTACATATGTCAAAAAATTAATTAGATACAAAAAGTACACTTTCGTTGATTATCATTCATGCAAATGATAATAATGCATTTATTCGGTATTTGGTACAGATAACTTCGCCATCACGCATGTCCAGTTGCTCAGCTGAAAAGTCGAAAGAGATTGTTTCAAATTTACTATAAAAATCGACTGCTTATTGTTTCCAACAAATTGTTAAAGATATGATAAAGAATTAAAAAAAACTAGCAGAGTGCAGTTAAAATAATTAGCATTTTAAAAGGGTTGTATCCAGATTTGTCGGCAAGAATTTTTTCTTACTTTACAAGCTGTCATGGGGTTTGTGGACAAAGGAGGCTTAATCCATTGTCAATTGTTCAATACAACGTGATGATTAGATGTCAATCTATATCTCCTTTGTTGGATCCTCTCGTTGTTTGTTAAGGCAGGTGTCTGGTCCGGGAGTGTCAGTCTGTGTCAGTCTCTTGTACTCTGATGAATGACTCCGGGTGAAATATAAATTTATTTATTTTTCAGTCTTCTTTGATGGAATATTTGAAGACGGACTTCTTTATACGTTTTTGATACTTATTTTTGAGAATCGATTCATAATAGGAATTAAAATTTATAATTTGGAAATAGTTTTTGCAGCCTCGTCTTTTATTTGCACAAATAATAACAACGAAGATAAAGAAGATAATGGAATCAACTGATTACCAGTTTTTCTCGATAAAAGGCACGATTAAAATGAGGATTTCCGTTATGCCAAAAGAATGCTGGAAGAGTATAACGAATTCATTAAAGATTCATAATTCATGAAATCATCTCAGCGACTGGACGTAATTCCTTGTCAGATAAATGATCGACGACAGCAGTGGCAGTGCTGGGCATGGCTGCGAAAAAAAGAGAGATAGATTGATGAGGTGAAAGTGCAGGTGTCGTAAGCTTGTGCACGCGAGTGAAAGAGAAAGAGAGAAGAGAGGATTAAAAAGTTGCACTTCGAAAAAGTAGAGACGGCCGACGGCCACTGTGTGCGCTTCTCGTCGCGCAAAACTTGGCGTTTGCAATTACTCTTTGAGCGCTCGCACCTTCTTTGTAGATGTACACAAAAGTACGAGTATCCTGCGAGCTGGCTCGTCTTAAGTGCCCTACTTGACGTGATTAAAGCGAGTGTTGCGATGTTATTAAGGTCGCGACGCTTCTTATGAGCGATATATAACAAGCCTTTATCGCAAAATATCTTCTTGCTTCTTTATATGACAAAAATTTCCTTTTTTAATATTTTGTCTTAGTTGAAATAATGGTTGATTCTTTTATTTTTTAATGGATACTCACTTTTTAAATATTTGATGATAGATTGGATGTATTTGAAAAAATTTTTAATAAGCGATTGATAACTTTTCATTGTATTCACAATTTTCCATGTTTTTTAACAGTATTTCATTGTGATTAATATTTAAAAATTGCACTTGAATAACTCATAATATCAAAGTTCATTGTATTTCAGTAAAATTTACCTGATGAATTAAAGGTATAATTATCAATAATGTCAGAGAAAAACATGCAAAAAAAAGAAGAATGACGAACAAAGCAAAATAATTTTACCTCTGTAATCTAATATGAACAAAAAAGGCGACGCGTTTGGTGTTCATTAAGCGAGGGTAGTAGAAAGTTTCTGAAAACATCATTATCGTACATCGATAAACACGTGTATACCTTTTGATATTTTTTCATAAAAGTTACTTTGCGCGCGTGAGCACGCTTTCTCTCTCTCTCCCTCTCTCGCTATGTATGCACATACACCTTCACGTGCAATAATCGCGCAGCAAGGCTGACGCTATCGTGATATACTGCCTTGGAGCTGCTCTTGCTCAACTTTTTCCGCTTTTCTCGGTGCTGCGGCTCCCGCGGCCCTTTTATGCGCTTGCATATATTCATCGCTCTCGTGCACGTGCCTACATAAGCAGTCGTGCCAACGCACTGGTAGCGACCGTACAATAGCCGCAGGTCTATATGCACTTATCGATCAAAAATCTCCTTAATCTCTCACCTTACAATTGACATTTCATTTTTTCTTCTTCTACGCCTTGCTGACTCCATTGCATCTTTGCGTGTAGTTACTTTTTTGGCAAGTTGTTTCCTCAACAGTTGCTTTTTGTTGTTTGGTTTTGCTTTTTGCGCCGGCACGCGAGCATACGTTTCTTGCGTAATCTACAATTACGTCCACTTGAGTGTATTATTCACGTGATATTATGATCAATTCGACAGAAGGAACAATGGCGTAAAGTGTATTGCATTTCAACCAATGTGATATTCTTGCAGCTCTTCTCCGTCCCTTGTTTTTCATATATAATCTATATTGAAGCAGTTAGACGTTGAGATCAACTATCTTGCTCGCAGCTAAGGATCCTCTTTACCCTCCTGGTAAATGAGCTTCGCGTTCTCGAATAGTATCATAAACTTCACATAGTGCTGGTAGCTAAGAGAAAAACTTCACACTAGATACAGGTGATTTAGGTTGGGAAATATCTTTCAGAGTAGATCGTCAACAGTTTTTATTCAGAAAATCGCTTTTTCAACAAATACACACACATGTAAAACCTCAATTAAATCTTTTATTACATTATTTTTATTTATTTTTAAATGTGCGTCAAATTGAGAACAAAATTGATAAATTAGCAGAAAATTCACAAATATTACGTATGTTAAAAATGAGAATATAGATTGTTGATTGAAGTGACAAAGCATGAAAAAATGTATAAAAATTCTGATTGGATTCCTTCCTCATTCAATCTTACTCCTCTGTGCACGTTAATAATAAGCTATATAGCTGAACTTCGAATTTTTTTCTTTTTCTATTTTGTAGAGGCATTATTGAAATGGCATCTTGAAAATTCCGAAACCTTTTAGCGCTCGGAACTTTTGAAGCTAGCTTTGATGTTTGTCTTGTGGAGTCCTAATAATTTTCGTTTGATATCAAAACTCAATATTTTTTAGCAAGCTTCTCTCTCTCTCTCTCCCTCTCTTTCTTGGTCTCTCTTTACGCGTTTGTGTGCACTATATGCTGTATTTAATATTAACTACTAGTGAACACGCCAACAACATACTTACGAGTAAAAAATAAATAAATAAAAATTACGACAGAAAAGTTGACGCACATTTGCGCTGTTTTTTAAATGAGCATGGTACTTGCTTTTGGAAAACTTCCATCAAGTAGATTAATGGTGAGTTTACAGCGAAAAGCTTCGCCTCGTTCTGTGAAACTTCTCATCAGATTTATTGCTTTTACAACTAAAACCGGTCTCAATGGCTTTTTTGTTAAGACACTGAAGAATATTTAATTAAAATTTTGAAATTTTAAGTGGCGAAATTACGTATCGCATTTTCCAAAGAAGGATAAAATTCTGAATACATAAATAAATCCGCTACACGAATTTCACAGTAATACCGCAGATTCATAAAAACGATTATAAGTGTGCACAAATGCGATTTGCTCACAATTTATTTATTATTTGCAAAAAATCAATAATAGAAGATTCG